ATGATGTTGTGTGTATCCTGCCACTGCCTTCATTTCCCGCCATTGAACTTGGACTCTGCCCTTGGTAGCCCTTCCTTAGTATTCTGGGGAGTGGTACAGATTCTCCAACAGGGAATGATCTCTGTTGCAGGAGGCTCACAAGTTGCAAAGGTAATAATCCTCTTTCTTTTTTTTTTTTTTTTAGCTTTTATTTTTTTCCCCTGGAAAATATAAAATGTGAGTTTAAAAGAAACATCAGCCTTGAGCCCATTTTTTGGGGTTCTCTATGGAAAGGAAGAGGAGAGATTATGGTTCTTGATATGGCCAGGTACACTAAGAAAACTTTTTTTTCATTCTTTAAAAATTAAGTAAATATTAACACTAGAACTCATCATTTGCATATTTATTTATTATTAAAGCCCCAGAAAATGTATCTTATTGACTTATGATGATGATGTATTTGATGAATATGAGTCAAAAATTCTGCTAAGCCTTATCTCTTCTACTCTAAGAAAAGACATTGTTGAAAGACCTGTGCTGGAAATAATTGAAAGCATATTTTTATTGCAATTAAATTATCAGTTTTTATAAACAAGGGATAATGTTCAAACACAATGGACAGTGCATTATGGACTATTAAGTCTCAGTATGGTATTCTTTTCTTTCAGAACAGGAATGTTTCACTTACCCGTAAAGACATTTTTGAAGTTGGGCATATTTATTTCTAAAACACAAAGGGACCCTGCAGTAGACTTATGCAGATGGCAGACTATTTTCTTTTTTTTTTTTTAATGTAATTTAATTTAATTAATTTTTTAAAATATTACTTTAAATTCTGGGATACATGTGCAGAACGTGCAGGTTTGTTACATAGGTATACATGTGTCATGGTTTGCTGCACCTGTCAACCCATCATCTAGGTTTTAAGGCCCATGTGCATTAGATATTTGTCCTAATGCTCTCCCTCCCATTGCCCCCCATCTCCGATGGGCCCCAGTGTGTGATGTTCCCTTCCCCAAAGTATTTTCTTTTTCAGAGTAGTTGCTTCTAGTTTATTTAAGATTTTTATAATTTAGTTAAGCAAGGCATTTGTTGATTATGCAAAATATCTTATTGGTATTTGTATCACATATGCACATTTTTTTTCCTTTTAAGTATAGTATACCATGTTCTCAGCAATTAATTCATTATCGTTTGTCTGCAACCCTTTCTTCAATGTTACTAAGCAAGACACATCTGGGGAGGCCTACTTTCTATGTTGTGGCATAAAAGTATGTATTGAAGCTTTAGTAGGGATTTCAAAAATGGTTGGATGGTAGCAAATTACTAAGAACTGTCAAAGTTTCTAAAGCCTTAGTTCCAGCTTGCTAGAAAACCGACGTTGAGTATTATGGCTAAATAGTTGAGTTGGAAAATGTCTTCAAGGAGACACTTTTTCACTTTGTATTCATCTGTACATTTTTTATTACTTGCATTCTGTCATGCTCAGGCTATTAGAGCAGGTACATTTTTATAACTGGAATGTTTATGTGTAGTGAAGCTCTGAGAGGACTTTGCATTAGATTTCAGCAGCATAATCGAAGCTTGTTCTTTGTCTCAGCAATTTTTAAGCTAATAGTAGCAGAAACTGCCGTGGAAGTAGACTGCTTTGCCACAACATTCAGAAAATCATTTATCTTTTTATTGCAGTTCTTGTCACCAAACAGTACATTTTAGTATTTCTCAAATTACAGAACTCTCATAGGGCTGGGAAAATACCTGTACACACATACATACTATGAATGTGCTAACGTGTTTTGTATTTTCATAGCCCATCAAAGCTCCTGAGTCGGTTTCCACTATAATCACTGCAGAATCAATCTTCTACAAGGTAAGCTTTTGTAGAGTTACTGAAGGGAGAGTTGGGCCTAGTGGGTAATGTGCCACTAAAATGTTGGATTAGTCTAAAGGTCTCTCCTCTTTATTTGTTTAAGGTGTGGTTATACTTTTTGTTCCCTTCTTAACTGTTTTCCCCCATGAGTGACTGTTATTCTAACATCTCATCTAGAGCTGAAGTGGGAGGAGAAGGTGCCTACTGACATATGATATGAGGATCTTAAGTATTGTTTTTTAGTGTAGATTATAGGAAGTGTTCTTAGAGTGCTGATTGTATAGTGTGGAACCATGGAAGAGTGAGCCATTAGTGTGATGGCATTGAAGAACAAGAAGGACAGAGACAGGATTTGAACTAGTACAGGTTGTAGACTGTGGTGTCAGATGGGTAGAGTAGGCCCAGAGATTCTGAAATGCCTTTAAGTGGAGTTGAGCTGAGTAAGGGCAGTAGTGAGGATTAACACCTACTAGAAATCCATGGTGAGAGGAATTCCAAGATGTTTTGATAAAAGAATGAGGAGGTCAGGTTTCCTAGGGCCAAAGTCCATGGACATCTGATACCTCAGTGAGAGAAGTGACAGATTGTTGTGTTTAAACCAGAAGTCATGGCCGGGCGCGGTGGCTGAAGCCTGTAATCCCAGCACTTTGGGGGGCCGAGACGGGCGGATCACGAGGTCAGGAGATCGAGACCATCCTGGCTAACACGGTGAAACCCCGTCTCTACTAAAAAAAAAAAAATACAAAAAACTAGCCGGGCGAGGTGGCGGGCACCTGTAGTCCCAGCTACTCGGGAGGCTGAGGCAGGAGAATGGCGTAAACCCAGGAGGCGGAGCTTGTAGTGAGCTGAGATCCGGCCACTGCACTCCAGCCTGGGCCACAGAGCGAGACTCCGTCTCAAAAATAAAAAATAAAAAAAAATAAACCAGAAGTCTTAGGAAAGGAATTAGAACATAGACCCCCCCAACAAGGCTCGGCAGGCCTGGCACGGCACAGGCAGCAACCAATGAAGGCTATTTGGTGCTTTGGGATCTGAACTATCATTTAGGGGACAGTGGTGTGAGTTAGTGCTTTATACTTGACCCAGGTGGACTGAGAAACTGAAGTGATTATGCCCTTAAGTATACTTTTTTTAAAGCCCGCAATCTATATAGTTGAAACTGTTCCTCCCCACGGGGTTACACTGGCATTCCTCAGCAGGGCTGGGAAAAAACAACAACAAAAGAAGTCTGTATACAGGCAAACATGTCTCTTGTTTTTCCAACATTTAATACATTGTTAAAAAAATATCTAAAGTTTAGCAAACAGTTGCTATGTATCAGTGACTGAACATTTTGCATGCTTTATTTCATTCAGTTCACCCTATGAGGTGGATACTACTATCCCCATTTTCTGGATGAGAAGATTGAGGCATAGCGAGGTTAATTAACTTGTCCAAGATCACATAGCCAACAAGTCATGGAGTGAGGCAGTCTCATACCAGAGCTTAAGCCTAGAGCATAGTTCCTGGCTCTATAGCTTTAGCAAGTGACTAGCTATGCGACGAGGACCAACCTCTCTGATGTCTCATCTCTAAAATAGGAATTGTAAATAGTTTCTACCTCGGTGGGTCAAGTGAAATCATATGTGTTAAGCACTTAGCAGAGTAAGCACTCAATGAATGTAGGAGTTACCATATTTTCATATTTGTGCATTACCTTCACAATTTACAGATTAAGGCTAGAAGCAACTTGTTGAGCTACGGGTTTAGTGTGCTAATGATTTCCATGTGTGTCTCCATGGAAAGGCGTGTAGTACCTGTTATTGTGACTGACTGTACTTTCGTATTGTCCGCCGCCCATGTTTATTAAGTGGTAAGGACAATAATCCTACAAAGTAGTCAAGCAATGTTGCAAATGCCCAGTATTGTGGGGGCTGTCACAGCAGTGCCACTGGCAGGCAGCACCATGGTGGCAAGTTCAAGAGGTCACTGCCAGCCACTGAGCTAGAGCCCAGATCAGGCATGCAAGAGGAGCCTGAGTGGGAGCCACTGGGGTCAACGGTCAAGAGTGTGACAACCCAAGACCCAGAACGGCTGAGTGGCCTCCTTGGAGCATGGCGGTGGCAGAACAACTCCATGAACTCAGGTCTGGTGATGCCTAAGCTAGTGCTGTTCTCTTGTGGATCCCTTTTCTCCACCAGAAACCTTGAATCCTCTCAGCAAATGAGGAGACCACTCAAATCAGTGACTTAGTCCTGTTTGGTGTTATATATATGTACACAACACAGCACATATTAATAAATACCTACTATGTGCCAGGCACTGCCTACCACTGGAATCTTTCACTAAGACATTGTCTTTGCATTTCTGCCTTCACACTATGAAAGCAGATGTTTTGGATTCATATTCATTCAGCATACATTTGAGTATGCTGTGATATGCATGATAAGCCTATGATAAGCAAGTATTCTCGTTTAGAATTTGGGAATATTGATTATACATGTGGACAAAGCAAACCATAAATGCAAACGATATGATAAATAACTTTGGACTAATGACTGGGAGGAAGAAACAGCTGTTGATGGGTAGGAACTAGCAAGTAACAGACTGGCCTGCATAGACCAGACCCATCCATAGTGACCCAGATGAAACAGCCACCGTCAGACACTTGGATAAAGGGTCCACCAGGAAAAAACTCCTGGCCTATCAGGTGCTATGTTACAGTTCCGTTACCGGAAGTATTTCCTCAGAAGTGTTTTTATGGTTGAGGTACACATTCCTGCAGGTTTACCTGCTGCCAAGTCCCTGTTTGAAGGGAAGCAGCAATTAATTACACTGTTTCCATAGTCAAGGACAGTATATCCCACTGAGAAAACTACTCCCACTTAAGGAGGTGCTGGATGTCATAAAGATTTGGATCAACCATTATGGGTGTTTAGAGGAGAGATTATTTCCAGCTCAAGACCCAGGAAAGAGGACATAGGATGGATGCTAGAGTCATAGGGAAGATTTAACACAGGACATGTACACATTAGTTAGTTGGGTATAAAGTGGAACAGAAATGAATGAGACACAAAGCCTTGAATTCCAGAAGTACTAGTAGTTCTGTTGTGGAAGGATATAAAACTCAACTGGGAGTGGAAGAGAAAGGCAGCAGTGAGTCTAGGAGATGTACAATAGGTTGAGGTAAACATATCCTGAAGACTATAATCCAAAGATTATTTTTGGTTTGAATTTGTTTTGGTTTGAATTCATGGTATCTATTTTCTTTGAATGGATGGTTGGGGAGGGTGGCATGTAGAATGCATTCTTATTAAATCAGCATTGATTTTCAACACAGTACAGAGAAAGACTACTGAGCTGATGTAGGAGCTTCGGCTGCAGTCTCTATGACTTTCAGCAAGCCGTTTAACCTTACTACCACTTCATGACTGTGGCTAACAAAGTAGGGACAGTACGGAGCACAGAGGATTTTTAGGGCAGTGAAACTATTAATACTGTCTTTGTATGATACTATAATGGTGGGTACATGTCATTATTCATTTGCCCAACCCCATAGAATACACAGCACCAAGAGTGAACCCTAATGTGAACTCTGGTCTTTGATGGTGCTGTGTCAATGTAGGTTCATCTGTGTAACAAGTGTACCACTCCAGTGGTGGGTGGGGTTATTGATAATAGGGGAGGATGTGCATGTGTGGGGGCAGGGAGTCTATGGGAAATCTCTACTTCTGCTCGATTTTACTGTAAACTTAAAACCTCTGTAAAAAATAAAATCTATTTTTTAAAAAGTAGGGATAGTATTATAGCAATATAAAATCAAAGTACTTTATGAATAAATGTTTTCTCCAGATGTCAACTGTCATATATGCACCCTCGAATGTGTATGTATAATTTTCATTCAAAAGTGAAACAACTTTAGAATTGGCACCAAACATACAAACATTGATTGATACATTAGACTATCTTGAACACCTTTTATTGACCACTTTGAAAACTTGTTTACCTATTAAGGTTCATTCATAGCTGTGGTGTTCTATTTTTATTTTCAATGTGGGATTATCTTCTCTTTCACCCAGGGAGTATATTACCAAATTGGTGATGTTGTTTCTGTGATTGATGAACAAGATGGAAAGCCCTACTACGCTCAAATCAGAGGTTTTATCCAGGACCAGTATTGCGAGAAGAGTGCAGCACTGACGTGGCTCATTCCTACCCTCTCTAGCCCCAGAGACCAATTTGATCCCGCCTCCTATATCATAGGCAAGTTTGACAAATGGCACAGGTTCTTTAACTTAGTTAACTCTCCAATATTATGTAAAAAAGTGTGTTAGTCAGCTTGGGCTGTCAGGACAAAATATCACAGACTGAGTGGCTTAAACACCAGAAAGTCACTTTCTCACAGTTTTGGAGGCTGAAGTCCAACATCAAGGTTCTGGTAACATGGATTTCTGGGGAGGCTTTTCTTCCTGTCTTGTAAATAGCCACCCTCTTGCTGTGTCCTCACATGGCCTTTCATGGAGAGAGAGCTCTTTGGTGTCTCTTCTTATAAGGACACCATTTCTGTCAGATGAGGGCCCCACCCTTATGGTTTCATTTAACCTTAATTGCCTCCCTAAAGGTCTGATCTCCAAGTACCATCACATGGGGATTAGGGCTTCAACATACGAATTTGGAGGATGGGGGGGATGCAGTTCAGTCCATAAGAAAAAAGCATGAGTATAATTAAGTACAAAAAAATTAGAGCTTTATAGAAAATATGAGGCATTTTATGTAGCTGGAGTTTGAGTGCTATCAGTTATTTTGAGTTAGAGCAATGTGCATCTACTAAGAAGTGATACGGATAAGGTTTTTTTTAGAGTGACCCAGGGTTAAACTGTACTACAAGAATTTATTGCTCAGGAACTTGGTTATTTAGGTTACTTATTTATACAAACCTGTTCAAAAATAATTTAGAAAAGAACTATCCCAGTTATCCCATACTTACAAGTTCTCAGTATGCATACCTCTGCATGCTACACATGTCATCTTAGGCCTTTATAATATAAAGGCTGATAGTTGAAATGGCAGCTGCTGTGCTTTTGTTAATTTCAAAGCTGCCAAAACAGTTTTGACATAGACTCACAAGAATTTACTGATTAATACAATTTTAAAAGTTTTCAGATTTTTAAAGTTACTTCAGACTTTTTAATCTTTCTGCAATGAGCATGCATCATTACTTTTGCATCCTGAGGACAAGCATAAATTTTTTTTGAAGAGAACTCCAGGGACAAATAATATACCACTGTTATTCTCACCTACATGTCAAGTTTGGTACATTACCAAACAGTTCTAGCCTTCTGCTTATAAGTACATAGAACTTTTATTTACCGTATCTATGGGTCAGGATCCCAGCAGAGGCAGTGATGTATCAGAATCACCTTCGGGATTCCTCTACTGCCTCCTCTTTCTAATCCCCAGATTCTGATATGCATCCTTGTCCTACAGCGAGGCAGCATGGCGTGAGGTCAGAACACCAGTTCTGGAGCCAGAGTGTCTGGGTTCATAGCCCGCCATTTACCAGCCATGTGACTTTGGCAAATTTCTTAGTTTCTCTTGCCTCACTTTCCTCATATGTAAAATGGGAATAATAATAATGCCTACCTCAGAAGGTTGCTGTGAGGAATGAAGGTATTGATATGTGTAAACTTACAACAGTGTGGGTATAAAATAAACATGATGCAAGTGTTCAATCACTGTTTTTGGGAGAATTCCATATTCTTTAAGCCATTAAAGAAGAAAAAATGATTAAGAATAATTTCAAAGTACTGCATGTTTCAAGGGCTAATGCCAGGTTGCTCCCAGAGTGGTCTCTCCCAGTGTCTAGAAATTTTAACATCTTATGAAAATGATGTATATGGTCAAAAATGTATTTAACCTTTCCCTTGGCTGCCTTCCAGGGCCAGAGGAAGATCTTCCAAGGAAGATGGAATACTTGGAATTTGTTTGTCATGCACCTTCTGAGTATTTCAAGTCACGGTCATCACCATTTCCCACAGTTCCCACCAGACCAGAGAAGGGCTACATATGGACTCATGTTGGGCCTACTCCTGCAATAACAATTAAGGAAACAGTTGCCAACCATTTGTAGTTCACAAATTAAAACTGGATTTCCAGGCCTGGTGTGGTGGCTCACGCCTGTAGTCCCAGCTATTGCACCACTGCTCTCCAGGCTGGGCAATGGAGTGAGATTCTGTCTCTTAAAAATATCACAAAAAAACTGGATTTCCAGTTCTCTGATCTTCTTAGTACCACAGGATATGTCATAGGTATCTTTAAATGAAATTCTTAGCTGGAAAAATGACTCAAAAGTTTTTTTCTACTACCTAGTAATCATTAGATTATTTATTACTGGTTACTTAGAAAATTAAAAGGGTTAGGGCCAGGCACAGTGGCTTATGCCTGTAATCACAGCACTTTGGGATGCTGAGGCAGGCAGATCACCTGAGGTCGGGAAGTGGATTGCCTGAGGTCAGGAGTTCGAGACCAGCCTGGCCAACATGGCGAAACCCCGTCTCTACTAAAAATACAAAAATTAGCGAGATATGGTGACATTTGCCTGTAATCCCAGATCTTTGGGAGGCTGAGGCAGGAGAATCACCTAAACCCAGGAGGCGGAGGTTGCAATGAGCCAAGATTGTGCTGCTGTGCTCCAGCCTGGGCAATAGAGTGAGACTCTGTCTTGGAAAAAAAAAAAAAATGGCTGGGCACAGTGGCTCACGCCTTTAATCCCAGCACTTTGGGAGGCTGAGGCAGACGGATCGCCTGAGGTTGGGAGTTCAAGACCAACCTGGCCAGCATGGTGAAACCCTGTTTCTACTAAAAATATAAAAATTAGCCAGGCATGGTGGTGCACACCTGTAGTCCCAGCTACTCGGGAGGCTGAGTCAGGAGACTTGGTTGAACCCAGGAGGTGGAGGTTGCAATGAGCTGAGATTGTGCCACTGCACTCCAGCCTGGGTGACAGAGCAAGACTCCATCTCAAAAAAACAAAAAATTAAAAGGGATAGAATGTAATGAAATACGTTTTGAACTTAAATGATATTCTATATGTGTATCTTCCTAGGCAAAAGCTGTAATTTCCAGAGAGACCATTAGGAACAGGTAGTATCTATTTTTCTCCATTATTTATTTCTAGAAACTCATAAAATGGACATTTTATATTTTTCTATAAGAACAAAATATTAATTAAGGTATAGATGACTGACCAAGGGCTTAATCAAATAAAATGACTAACAGTATCTATCATAAAGCCACACAAGCCTTATGTTCTCATCTCAAAAATGCTGTGACAGCTTTTTGGCTGCTTTAACCATAAGAAAAATGAATGGTGGATGATTTTACTAGCCCAGGCTTTTAAAAACTTTCATCTTGGCCAGGCGCAGTGGTTCACACCTGTAATCCCAGCACTTTGGGAGGCCTGAGTGGATGGATCACTTGAGGTCAGGAGTTCAGGACCAACCCGGCCAACATGATGAAACCCTGTCTCTACTAAAAATAGAAAAATTAGTTGAGTGTTATGGTGCAGGCCTGTAATCCCAGCTACTCGGGAGGCTGAGGCAGGAGAATTGCTTGAACTCGGGAGGTGGAGGTTGCGGTAAGCCAAGATTGCGCCACTGCACTCCAGCCTGTGTGATAGCGCAAGACTCTGTCTCCAAAAAAAAAAAAGAAAGAAAAACTTTCATTTAATCCTTCTGTAGCAAACAGGCATTCAGAACCATTCCATTGATCTTAATAAAGCTGCTCTTTACTCTTTCTAGTCAAAAACAAGACTTCCAATCAAACCATAAGATTTTATACTGCAGATAGTCAGCTTCACCAAAGCCACAGAGGAAACATGTTGAGATCAGGCATCCCGCTTGATAGTTTCTTGACTACCATTAAAATGAAGATTGGGAAGTCATGAAAGTCACTGGTAGGCCATTAGCATTGATATCTTTAAAATGTCTACCCTAAACCATCTGCTGTGGACCCGTAATAAGAGGCCTGTTGTATATGAAATTGTCTAGAATTCAGGTGCAGGTCTTTGCCAGTTAAGTAAGGGAGCAACATGTAAAATGGGGGAGGAGTAGGTGCACTTACTTGCCTCCACTTCTGTCCTGATTTAACCAGCATTTTTCAACCCTGGGAAAATTTGCAGAATCTAAGTTGATTGTAATGATTTTGAACTGCAGTGGCTTTAACTCTTACCCTTTTCCCACATAGTTACGGTTTGTGAGTTGGAAAGAAACAACTGTAGGTAGCTACACATACATAATGATCTCTTTATTCACAAAGGTTATAGTAAAATTGTAAATGACTTTCTAAGTGCTAATATTCAAAACTTTTGGATTAAAATGTATTTTTCACAATGTATTTACTTTGGATGTATTTATTTCATTTAAACAATTTAAATGGGGCTATTTAACCAAAAATGGTATTTAAAACCAAAACAGTATAGTACTTAGAATTTGGAGTAGAGACCAGGTGCAGTGGCTCACGCTTGTAATCCCAGCACTTTGGAAGGCCGAGGCAGGAGGATCGCCTGAGGTCAGGAGCTTGAGACCAGCGTGGTCAACATGGTGAAACCCCGTCTCTACTAAGAATACAAAAATTAGCCAGGCATGGTGGTGTGCACCTATAATCCCAGCTAGTCTACTCCAGAGACTGAGGCAGGAGAATCACTGGAACTCGGGAGGCAGAGGCTGCAGTGAGCTGAGATCGTGCCACTGCACTCCAGCCTGGGTGACAGGGCATGAATCCATCTAAAAAAAAAAAAAGAATTTGGAGTAGATAGATTCATCATTAATAAGTAATAGATTTTGGGAAAATCCAGAAATGGCTAATAAAATGAACACAATGTAAAATATTAAAATGTAGACTTTTAAAAATCTATAAATTGACCATCTGTTTATAAATTGGTAGATGGTTGTGTACCATCTTTTAAAATAAAGATGGAATTTCACCCAGTGCGATGGTTCCCGTTGCTTACATTTCTCTGCTGAGGCCAAACCTGATATGGCCCTGGTCTGTGTTCCCAGCCCTGTCTCCGCGTTACCACTAAAATGTTTCCCCCGTATACCCGCCTAATTTTTCTGGCTCTGAGCCCTTGTTCGTACTGTTCTGTCCAATTCTACCTTCCAAAGACCTTTCTTAATGCCTTCAGATTCTTTCTTTGAGACCTTGTCAGATTCCCATGGCTTTTTGAAATCAATCTCTATCCTATTGTCATCACATTTAAGTTTCTACTTCCATCATCATTCCTATCCCTTTGTTCCTTGTAGGGCGGGAATGCTGTGTTTTATTTACTCATCTCTAACTTCCACATAACCTAACCCAGGTTCTTGCTTATGGGAGACGCTGAGTGTAGGGTCTGAATTAGATACTGTTAACTAAAATGCTTGTTGATATTTTAGTTATTAATTCATATTAACTTTGGCTGAAACTTTTAAATTGTGAATAGTCAAGTAAAACTTAGATTGTTATATTCTGGGTTAGTATTAGATTGTTTTTAAGATGAGTTTTAAATAGTTCTCTTAAGACAAATAAAGCTTAACATGAGCATTTGAAAGAAATTATCCCAAACCATTCCAGTTCCCGGCTGTGAAAGACTTTTCCAGGCCTAATAAGTTTTCCATTTCAGTCATAAGTAGGTGAAATCAAATGAACAATAGAGGGAAATGTATTTATTTGCTTTATACACATGCATGTGTGTTGTGTCTACATCTAAACAATGCACGAGCTTAGAATGAAGTTTCTGTCATACCCAGAAAAGGGAGAGGCATTTTTGTGGATTTTGTCTGGCTGCCCTGGACATGTTTGAAGAACTGTGCTGTTTACTTCATACCAAGTGTGTGAGCCATACCTTTGGTAGAAGGGTGTACCTCCTACACCCAAGAAACATGAGCCAGGAGGAGGTCTGTGCCAAGGAGAAGGAACCCAAATGACCCACAAGAGGTGGGCCATTAATTATTGGGTCAGATGCACAAATGCACGGTAATTTATTTAAACACATCTTAATGGTGACCCACGAGGAAGATTGCTAGTAATAACAGAAAGGTTCACAATAAATAAGAGAAAAAAAGACAGAATGTAGAACTGTATGACAGCAATTCTGCAAACAAGAAGCATCTTTTATAAAAGATGGAAGGAGCCCAGGCACAGTAGCTCATGCCTGTAATCCCAGCACTTTAGGAGACTGAGGTGGAGGATCACTTGAGCTGCAGTGACCCATGATCATGCCACCACTCCAGCTTGGGTGATAGAAGTGAGACCTTGTCTCAAAACAAAACAAAACACAGACAGAAATGCCTCCAGAATTTTAACATGTCAACAGAGGTTTTCTACAGCTACTCTTTTCAGCTTTATACTTTGCAGTATTTTCCAAATTTTCTCTAACATGCAGTATTTTCCAAATTTTTTACAATAAGCACACACACACACACACACACACACACACGTTTGTTTGCATACTGCCCAACTGGTGGTGAACAACCACTGGCTTTTAGTATATACATATCTGGAATATTTTATAAATAGTAGTTCTTAAACCCTTGAAAGGGAGATGAATGGCCAGCTGAGGAAATAAAGTCAGTGATTTCGTTGTTTTCCTATATTCACATCATGATTCTAGGAAAGAACTCGGGAGTGACTTCCTTCAACTTCAGCCACTCCTGGGCCAGGCGCATGCTTAGCTGTGTGGTAAAGGTCACCAGCGTCTTCTGCCTAGTGCCTGTGTCATCTGAATTGGAGGTTTGGCGAGGGTAAGAGACTAATGTAGCTTCAAGTTTTTCTTTCCTGTCCTCCACTTGAAATCTGTCTTCCCTTCCAGACTGCCTGCCCTGCTGACTCAAGGCCCCGACACCAAACACAGAAGCAACAGCTTTGCACAGAGCGTTCAGCAAGCTCCCACAATTGTATAAGGTAAAATTGCCTTTATAGATTCCTTATTCTGTATCGCTCCTAAGTGGTTCTGTTTCTCTAATCAAATTCTGACTGATAACAGTTGCTGAGACTCTGAAAGAAAAGGCAAGGAACTACTGTTTCTCATTATAAACTATTTAGAATTATTTGGCTATCTTCTTTTTGCTATGAATATGTAGTATTTTGATACATTGTTTAAAAAGTAATGAAAGAGATCACATAGGGAAAGATAGATTGCATTATTTTAAAGTTTATATACTAAATTGAAAAGCAAAGAATAAAACGGGAGAAACAGCTCCCACATGTGGCTGTTGGCAGGAAGCTTCCATTCCTCTCTATGGGCCTCCACAGGTTTGCTCACAGCAAATGATTCGTGACAGAAAGACGCAAGTGCAGTTGTACCCAAGATGGAAGTCACCATCTTTTCTATAACCTAATCTGAAAGAAGGGACATACCAGCACTTCTGCCATATGCTGTTGGGTCACACAGACCAACCCTGGTACGGTGTGAGCACAGGACCACACAAGGGTGTGAACTCCAAGGGCAGAGACCACTAGGGACCATCTCAGAGGCACAGAGGGACACCCTATCCAGCTGGTGGCCCATGTAAATTAACATAGCTTTTTAGAATAGCAATATGTATCAATACTCTTAAAAGTATTTATACTTCTTGATCTAGTAATTTCATTTCTAAGAATCCATGCTAAGAGGATTTAAAATGTGGACCAAAAAATGAGTATAAAAAGAGGTTGTTTCCAGTATTTAAAGTTGTGAGAAACCAGAAACAATCTAAAGGTCCAACAATAGGAAAATGAATTTTGATATTTTTCTAATAGAATTTTGTGCAGTCATCAGAAATACCATTTACAAATAATTTTTAATAATGCAAAAAAAGTTTATAAAATGGTTAGTGTAAAACCTGGACACAACTACATAATGATTCTGATTTTGTAAAAAAAAAAAACACACACTCACATATACACATGCATACATATATATATAAAGAAAACTGGAACAAACAAAATGTCAACAACAAGCATAGTCGGAATTATAGTCATTTTAATATTCTTTATGTTTTTAAAAATTTTGAGGTTTGTGTTACTAGCATCCGTTACTTATATAATCAGAAAAAAAA